AATCAATTACGGATTCTATACCTTTGACATTATAGAAAACAAGAATCACAAAGTTCATAGATGAGTCATGATTGAGGTTGATGGGTTGTTGATGAAGCTAAAAGTCCTTCACGGTGATTCTTTTGAGTTATCCAAAATGTCATTTAGGCTAAAAGAGCCTGATCCCACTAAGAAGAACTACTGTTCACAACAAATTAAAAGCAAGTAGCTGGAAAATTTCATAGGATACAATATTCAATATGGAATTTATCCAATATTTTAAGAAATAAAAAACTATATTTAGCCAACTTTGACATTTAACCAAGGAATATGTAATGTTTGTCTGATGATTGTGCTAATCTATAGGTCAATGTGGATCTTCAAATTAAAGGTTAACAAAACAATTTAATGTTTTATCTATTTGAGGGGACTTCAAAGAGTTCATGGAAAAATGGAATTAATGTGTGAGTTAACTTGAGTGTGAAAATTACTTCACATTTTTTTCCATAATACACATTTTCTATAAACTTTTTGAAATCCACACTTCCCTTATATATGCAGGGACTCTCACTAATAAAATTTGTATCATTCAAGAATTTGACCAGCTAGATCTCATGAGATTCAGTCAATGGAGAGACTGGCAGATAATCAGAAAACAAGAAGATGGCCATGCTACTATCCTTTCTCCTCCATTCTCCTCTCTGGAGTTTGGGCATGCATGTCCACGCACCCGGCATGAGTTTTAAGCCTACGGGTCTGGGACTCGAACCATAGTTGACTAAATGAGAGTCCAGATACATAACCATTATGCCATCTACTGGTACCAGTGGTGATTTTTTTGTTATTGTTTCCTGTGTAAGATTTAAGATCTCCTGACTGATACAGAAAATAGTGCATTTAGCTATGTCCTTGAAATTTACTTCTATCTCCTTCAAGACATTTGGCATTATCCTTTACCACATGTCATGTTTCTCGTCTATTTTTCCCACACTGAACTGAAAAACAACCATTGCGATGGAAATGCCACAGAAATCTGATATGTTATTAAATCTGTGCTCAAACATAATAAATAAAATATATGGTGCTTCCCCCTTTTCAGTATCAGTTTACAGTTACCAGGTGTTTCTAATACTTTAAGAATGTAATTGGAAATAAAGGACAAACTGGATTTTTTCAGTTTTTCTGAGCAGTATACCTCAGTTTGAAATAAAATATTCAAGGTAGTCATTTGTTGTTTAAATGTGTTTAGTAAGATGAGGAACATAAGAGATTTAAGTAATTAAGATTTAATTTCTCAATAGATGGAATTGCTGAAACTAGATTATCCTGTAAAGATTAGAAGTTGAGAACTTTCTGTTTTATAAAAGCTTTTTCACACATTATATAATTTGTCATGGCTTCCTTTAAGAAGGAAGATTTGGTGTATGCCAGAGGCCATTTATGTTTTGCAGGTATTTATTGACTATACTTTTTGTGTATAGATCCCATGTTGGTGTAAATAGGAATTTGCCATTGCAACATTTCTCAGTACTTTGACATAAATGATATTCAATGTAAGTAAAATTCTTTATAATTGACATGGTATATTCACACATATAGTATACTATGGCCACCCTAAAGGGTACCGTAAAATTATTAACCCAGTTTTCAAGAGCAGAGAGCACTATGACTCAAATAGTTTACTTGCCTGAGATTAGCAAATGAAGCCTGAACTCAGAACCTCTCATGCTCTCATGCTTCTCCATCTTAATTTTGTAATCCCCTCTGCTTGGGAATATATACTGTTGCTCTGTACCTGCAATAGTCTGTATATGATACAAATATGAGCATAATTATTATAGAACATATTTCAAATGTCTTAGGAAAACAATCATGTGAGTAACATTTATGTTTGAAACAACATGTATTTTGAGATGTGAAATTGAAATCCAGAAAAAAAAATACAATTACATTATGAAGAACAAAAATACAGAATTTTTCTTACAAAATTCTAATTACTGTTTCTTCAAAAGAAAATTCAAATGTTAATTACCTTGTAGATGTCTTGTTTATATGTATTATATGCTCAATATCTTCCCTCTAGATCAATTCTATGAAGAAGTTCAAAAACTTAAGTAATAGAAAATTCAATAAGGAGTATTCCAATATCAAAAGAAGAAAAACAATTATGTAATTCTACTTATGAAAGGTAAGATTCAGATCAAGTTTGAGTAAGGGTATTCCTACATTTATGGCTTGTTGTGGGTTTTTGCACTTACTCTTATTTATACCTCAAATGCTTTTCCTTGAAGAATCCTGTTGGATCTCACTCTCACTTCCCTCAAGTTGTTTGTTGATATGATGCCCTTTACTCTGAGACCTTTCCTGGCCTTTCTATTTAAATGTGCAATTTTCAGGGTCAGCAGGTGGAATAATAGTTAAGGCACTGGACTTCCACATGACTGACCGAGGTGAGTCCTGGACTTTGCAGATGGAAAATCACACCACGTATGTGTGCACACATGCCCCAATGTAACCATTATGCAATCTGCTGGTCCCTTGAGTTACCTTTTAAAAATAGCACTATTGGTGTCAATGGTTAGTGTGGTTGTTAAGGACTCCCACATAGCTGACAGAGGTTCAAGTCCTGGACCCGAGGCTTGAAAATCATGCCAGGCACATGTGCTTGCATGCCTAAAATCCTGACAGGAAAATGGAGGAGAAAGGACTACAGCATGGCTATCCTCCTGAAGGGTGATTTCCTACTTTCCCTCTCACTATCTCTGTTTGGAGAGCACATGTGTCCTATGGCAAAATTAAAAAAACAATAAAACTTACTCTAAAACGTACCTTTTAAAATTAATATTGGTTGACTATCTGGTATAGTCTGTTACATAATAAGTTGGATGTTGTTACAAAGCAAGGAAGTGGATAAGAAGTTGAAATACAGGGACCAGCAGTTAGCATAATGGCTATGTCACTGGACTCCCATGTAGTCAACCGAGGTTTGAGGCCTTGACCTGGTGGCTTAAAACTCACACCGGACACATGTGTGTGCATGTCCAAGATCCCGAGAGGAGAACGGAGGAGAAGGGATTGTGGTGTGGCCATCTCCCCTGGGGAGTGATTTTCACTTCCTGTCTCTGTCTCTCTCTGTCTTTCTGGCAAGTACACATGCCATATAGCAAAAAAAAACTCTAAAAAAAATAAAGAAAGAAGTTGAAATACCTATATTGTATAGTATTCAACAACTCGGTTTTGTTTTTTCGGTCACCCCCTTTAGAGAAAAGTAATGGAATTTCTGCCATGTTGGTTATTATTTTTTTTCCCCTTGTTGATCTTCCAATTCTTCCATACCAACAAATGAAAAAAAAAAAAATAGGACAATACAAATATGTAAGCGAGAAGTTGAAGAGTCAGATTTAGTTTGTCTCTGACTCTTGGAACATTTTCTTAGGGTGAATTGTCTATATCTGTGGAGATAGTATATAAACAAGATAATTGTTTATTGAACAATGAGAGAGAAGATCAGGTTGTACTTATATAAAAATGTTTGCTTGTTTTATATTTAAAATTGAAAAGAATTCTTATTGCTCCAGGAATTACACTATTGATTATTTAAACATTAGGCAGTGTGGTAATTAAGGCACTGGAATTCCACACAGCCAACTGTGATTCAAATCCTGGACTTAGTGGCTTGTTTTCCCTCTGTCTCTCTCTGGTTAAAATAATAATAATAATAATAATAAAATTTTTAAAAACTTCATACAAAATACATATTGTGAAAAACCATAGATTTCAACACTTTTATAGATTTCAACACTTTTTATACAAAAATGTGAGAGAGTTTGCTCTGTCTCGCTCATTGTTTCCTAAACAGAAAAACGGCAGGTATTCATTGGTATTCAGTAAATGCTTGTTACACAAAGAAAACAAGAGAGAAGGGAAAAAGGAAGGAAGGCAGGCCAAAAGGACAGTACTTTGCACAATACCTTTGTAAGAAAATACCATAGGTTGCATCAACTTGTTCATTTCTGCTATTAATTAATGCCCCTGGGTGCCATGGATAAATCTAGAGGGAAAACAATTTAGGAGAGAACGAAACAGAAAAATAAAGGAAGGCAAGCTCATGAGAAAAGAAAGAGAAGTAATATAAACAACCAACCAGAACTGGCCTTGACAGTTTGCATTATTTCATTGATCCTTACAAGAAATTCTCCTCACAAGGAAACTTGACACTTGCCAAAGGATCAAAAGAATTGGGTTGAGATATAGTGCTAGCCTAATCAGCCAGAGAAGCTTAAGAACAGAGAGACAGTGAGAAGTAAGGTAGGGTTTAAACTCTTGCTTTCTAATGCCTAATTCTATGTTTTTTAAAAAAAGTTTTTGCGAACAAATAAAAATGATGAAGAATGAAGAAGGGAAAGTAAATTATGTGTCAGCTAAAAATATTTGCCAGGGAATATTTTTAGAAGGGTCATAATTTATCCTAGTAAAGGTAACTTTGTTTATATTTGAAGATTGACTTATACATTGAAAAGCTGTTACCCAAATGCGTACGAGGTTATTTGTATTTAGAAAAAAGCGTACATATCAATAACACTATTTTTTTTTTAGGTATTTACTCAAGGACAATAATCAAGAAATTATACAAAGGGACTAGTAGTTAGCATAATGGCTATGTCGCTGAACTCCCATGTAGCCAACTGCAGTTCGAGTCCCAGACCTGGTGGCTTAAACTCATGCTGGGCACGTGTGCATGTGTGCCAAAGATCCTGAGAGAAGAATGGAGGAGAAGGGATTGCAGTGTGGCCATTCCCCCTGGGGGGTGATTTCTCATTTTTAATCTCTATCTCTGTCTTTCTGGTGAGCACATGCGCCCTATAGCAAAAACCTCTAAAAAAAACAAAAAGAAATTATACAGAGACATACTAATTACATTTACTTCAGCTTGGTCTGTGCAATAGGACAGAAACCTTCATGGTACGAATTACTTAGAACAAAGGTGGCGTCATTAATAAAAGAAACTTTTAGAGACTTACCTAGAACTTTGCTGTAGTATGAATCCCATTCTCCCCAGTAGGATTGGAATATATAGTCTTGCAGAGGATAAGAGATGGTATTTTTCACCCTTTCACCAAAGGTCATCTGGTCAGTGAGCTCTGACAAGGCTGCAGGTACGTAGGCAACTGGTGCTGGGATTTGTCCACAGTGTCTCTCCACAGTTGAGGCTGGAGAGAACCTCAACGTATACACAAAAGGGATTCCTAATTTTACAGCCACCAGGTCACCACAGATTGTTACTGGGTCTGCTACCAACACGTCAAAACTAGCTTTCTGAAGTTTTGCCATTAACTTGGGGTTGTTTAATATGCCATCACAGATTTGTACATTAATTCGAAAGAAAGTTTCCAGGAGTTTTCCTAGTTCTTTGTAGAAAGTCCATAGTGTCAGAGGAGTTGGTCTATGGTCTATCCATAGCATTATCATATGTTCAATTAAGGAATCTATATGGCTCTTCTTATAAGAAACAGGTATCTCTTCAAAATTCACAGTAGAATCAGGAGTGGAATTGATGAATAAAGTTGCTGATGAAGCCAGTACAGTCACATTGTGATTTCTTTGAATCAACTCTTCTAAAATGCTCTTAATGTTTAACCAGTGGCTACCATCTGTAGGCCAAATTAGCACATTCCCACTTAAAACAATTTCCGTCAGAGTCCAGTTAAAAACCAGCAGCTGGACAAACTTCTTACGCATGGTGATATCCACTATGGAAAACATCCTACTGTAGATCTTTTAAAATAAAAAGAAACCCTCAAAGTACATTCAGGTAGACTTTCTTTTCAAATAAAATCATATTTAATGTGTTACTTACATTCATTCATAGGTCAAATGGTGTGTGATTGAAAGGGAAATAATATCATCCAAGTTCTTTTATATATTAGCATGATTATTTCAACAACAGAAATAAAATCTGGTCCTATTTTAGAGAAAAAGAAGCGGGGACGTAATAAACCTACTATCTGTTTACTCTTTGATAACTATAAAATATGTCTTTGATATGTCTTTTCCAAAGGTAGGTGAACAGAAAAATAATTCTTTTCCAGCCACGTTGTCAAAACTTATAGTACTTTCAGGTAAAGCACTTATAGTATTTTTAGTAAAGACATCTTTACACATTTTGTCTTAATTCAGTTCTTTTACAATCTTGTAAGGCAGAAGTTTCTTTTACTTTATGGATAATGAAAAAAAAAAATTCCACTGCATAACCAAAAGTGTTTGACAAAGTAATACTACTGAGATTATGAACGTAACATTGGATTCCTTTCTGGTTTCCAATGGTATTTTACCACACTTTGTAAGCTTTAGAAACTCTGACGATGCCCAAGGACCAACACTATCATCACTTCCTTGTGGATGATATTAGAAAGAAAAATTTTAAAAAGCAAACTCCATTTAGAAATTTGCTCCAACATTTCAAAATCTTTTAGATTAACTTGCTTACAGAGAACATTACTACACATTTCATAGAGGATAGTTTCTTCTCTCGTAAAGCAAAGTGATCATTGTCTTCCTTGCCTTTCTTATAAAGAAATAACTCATTTTCTTCCTTCCATATGGTGTCTTCATACATCAGACAAGAAGATGAGGTCTTCACCCTTAGGAACCACAGGCTTTTATCATTGGAGTTGTGTAGTTAATTAAATTCAGTGGTCACATTTTGAATAGGTTCCTATTCAACATTTTTCCTTTTATGATCTGTGACCCTGGGGAGTTATACCCTCTGAGCTTCAGTTTTGTCAAATATAAATGAGGGATAAATAATGGTGCTAATGTTTTATATTACTTTGTAGGTTAGCAATAATATCTGCAAAGATGCTTTGCAAAGAGATTCAGATCACTGTACTAATATTGTACATTGTACATTGTACTAATACTAGAAGTTTAATCATTTGCCTAAAGATTGAGCAGTAAATCAGTAGGTTAGCTACACAATGACTGGCTGGACATGAATAGAGTGGTATTAGATGGGATTCTTCGTGGGTCCAAATCTGAACAAGAGCAACTATATAATGAAGCCATTTTAAAAGCATTAGAAGGTGACATTAAAATGAAAAATAAATTGACTGATAGAATGGAAGTCAGATATTAAGAATAGAAATTAAGCTGTGAATTTTCTCGTTACATTCTGTTGCTCTGGAATTGTTTAAGTTTAGGGGGTTTTTTGCATTAAAAAAGGACCAGGAGAAAAAGGGGAGAGAGAGAGAGGCAATGTTTTCAGAATTACTGTATTTGAATCCTTTCAAGAGTTAGCCTGAATTTGAATATAGCGGCAGTATCTTTTTTTTTTTTTATTTTGAGAGGTTTTCGCTATAGGGCGCATGCGCGCGCCAGACAGAGAGAGAGAGAGAGAGAGAGAGAGAGAGAGAAATAGAGACAGAAAGCGAGAAATCACCCCCCAGGGGGGATGGTCACGCCGCAATCCCTTCTCCTCCATTCTCCTCTCGGGATCTCGGGCACGCATGCACACGCACCCGGCGTGAGTTCTAAGCCACCGGGTCCAGGACTCGAACCTCAGTCGACTACGTGGGAGTCCAGCGACATAGCCATTATGCCAACTGCTGGTTCCCAGTGGCAGTATCTTTAAAATTAATTAGCTATTTTGTGCTATTGAGATACACAATTAAATGTGAATAAGAAATCATAAAATAAAATTTAAAAATGAATTAAATTTTGCAATAAAACAGAAGAGATTAAATACACTGATCCTGATGACCATTAAAAGAGGCCTAGTGAAGGGAATTTTAGATAACATCTTCACAAAGAAATCCATTGCTGTTGTGATCTCCCAGTAAAAAGGAAAGAAAGCAAAAGAATATAAGTATCCAATGATCAACGTCCATGCCAGTACAATATGATACGTATTTACAGATTACTCACTAATAGCTAAAATAGTCCTTAAACACTTATAAAAGCTTATTTCAAAATCTCAAATGTGTGTAAGGGTAAATTATCCCCAATTTTTTTTGAAATGGACGATTTCAAAAAGTAAATTTATCACTGTTAAGTTGTCTCTGTAGAGCAATCAAAATAATTACCAAATTTAGTGAAGAACAATAGGTAATATAATCATTAATAGCTGATATATATGCACACTATAGTGTAGCATTCAATGTCAAGGAAGATAAATATGGCTATGTCCTTGATTTGTTTATTGGAAACTATCTGCTGACTTTAAAAAGACCAGTAGTCTTCATACTACTTTAGGAACATGTATTGAGATTCTCTAATAGTGTGAAAATTTTAGCTTTGGATCATTGCTTCAGTTTTGAGTTCCTTGACCAGCATTTGATGAATTCTTTGTATGCTCACGTTTACTGACTTTCAATTTTTCCCTTTGTTTCACTATGTTGAAATGGTACCTTCTAATGCTTTCTTTTTAGCCAGAGCCTGATATCAAGATGATTCACCACTTTCTAGATGCAACTTTAGGCAAATTAGTCAGTCTCCTCATTTTCAAAATGGTGAGAATAATACGGGACCAGCAGTTAATGTAATGGCTATGTCACTGAACTCCCATGTAGTTGACCGTGGTTCGAGTCCCGGACCCAGTGGCTTAAACTCAATCCAGGCGCGTGTGCATGCATGCCCAAGATCCCGAGAGGAGAATGGAGGAGAAGGGATTGTAGTGTGGCCATCCTCCCTGGGGGGTGATTTCTCACTTTCTGTCTCTCTCTTTCTGGCAAGTGTATGCGCCCTCTAGCAAAAACCACTCCAAAAAAAAAAAAATGGTGAGAATAATTGCACCTATTTCCCATTGTTGTTGAGGACTAAGTGAAATAATGTTTGTAAGTCATTCAAAACATTATCTGTGCTCCGTAAACATGAGCTACAGAAGGGAGATAACTTTAACTTTTAAAATGATCAGACTAATCATATCACCTCAACATACCTCCTCTCTTTCTCTTCTTACAAAGGCATAACAGGGAACCTGGCCTTTGCTATGGACTTTCCAAACACTGAAAGTTCTCCTATCATCATGCTCAGTCTTGAAGCACATAAAAAATGATATGTTATTAACAATACACTGTCACCAAAATACACAAGTGATGTACTTTAAGAAATATATACTCAAGTGGTGTACTGTCAAAAATATAATGCTCAAGATTATACCCATAAAAATGATAACATCTATCCACTTAATTTTGATACCCTTTCATAAGTAAAAACAAACAAACAAATAAAAGATAAGGGAAAGTTATCACTGGGAACTTTAAATATCCCACTACAAGTTCCATCTCTGATATAATGCCTATGACTGTTAATCCCACAGTGGGTTTTGAATGATTCTAACCAATAAAGATTAATTAAAGTAAAGTAAAATTAGAAGAAAGAAAGGAAACAAAGAGGAAAGTAAAGGAAAGGTTAGGAAGAAAGCGACATAAGAAAAAATAGGGGAGACCCAAATAGAAATGTATTACACTTCAAAGAAAGAACTCTAATACAGTTTTTTATCTTTTAAAAAATCCTACTGGAAATCAAAGACCATGAAAATGTACACACTCAAACATGTTTCATTTCTTAATTATTCATGAACTACTTAGTCCTGCTCAGTGAGTAGTACTTCGTTCACACAAATATCTTGATAGTATGGTCATTGTTTTCAAAGGTCTATTATTTTTCCTATTTAAGTCATTTGCAAACTAGTCTATTATTACTTAAATGGCATTAGTTATTAGAGATTATTTACCTAATTATTCATATATAATCACAGGATATTACAGATTTACATCTATTCTATACTAAACTAATATATAAAGATTATTTCCTCAAAACCTACTTGTTTTTATAGTGGTCAAAAGCTAAAACTCTGTTAGTAATAATATGTAATGCTTATGGATTATAAATATTTTTATTGTCATAAAAATATGGCATTATTCTTTACTTAAATGCTTCCACAATGTGGTGACTTCTTGTTGTTACTATGAAAATAAAATAAAATTTACCTGGCTCAATTTTAAATAAACATATTTGAAATTGGCAGAAGCCTTTTCTTACTGTCAGTGAGAGGTTGTTTATGAAGCTCTGTTAGAGCCAGAAAGATATCCTCAGACAACCTACCCCAGACAGCAGTCACATGGAGACCTATGCCTTTAGGGAGAGTAAGTTACCTAGTGAAAACGTGGCCTGATTAAACTCTAGTTAGCAAATTAGAAAAGCTAAATATTTTAAAAAGGAATCCAAGGAAGTTTAATCCTAAAGTATTCTGAATAAGTGGTACATTTCCAACTGAAATTTAAAAAACAGAAAAAAAAATTCTAGGAATAGAAAATATGGCATAGAAGCTTTGGTTCACACCAAACTGAAAGATTTCAGTTTGAATATTTTCTCAACCCAATGGCTATATGATTTTATTTTAATAGGCTTGATATTTCTAAGCCTCAATATTCTCATTTGTGGTGATAGTTTTTCCCCTTGCAATGAACTATAACAAGTTCATTTCAAGGATTTAGAGAGGAAATATATATGAAACACTTAAAACAATGTAAAGTGCATAGAAAGAGATCAATAATTGCTAGCTGGTATCGCTATGACGACATTCACAAATTTGAGCCAAACTCGTGATTTGAAATAAAATAAGCAATTTTGAAATGATAATATCCTATAT